ACTCTATGTTATTTGCGTTCCCTCAACATTTTCCCCCATAAAACCTGATACACTTTTTCATACTGAATTTATAACTATTTTTGAAATTGAATATCGTGTTGCAGACAAAAATTGTACACCTTTTAAATGAATGTAATGCATTTTAATAAATTGTAAAGGCGATGCTAGTATACTTTGCTCTCCTCGTCTTGATAACGACTTCTATTATTCATGTACCTACTCATTTCTAATATGAATTTTTAACCATGTTTTTCTGTATGCTCTAATTCAAGAACCTTCGTCATCGGTCAATTCGAGTTGTCTGTAGAGTCGTGTATAACAAATCTGAAAGAGGAGTTATACACAGCAAAAAGTGCCACGCATGTTTTACGCATGGACAAAAAAAGTGTGTAAAACACCAGACTCAAGCTAGCGAACAATAAGCCAGCGAACAATAAGGAAGCATCAAGCTAGCGAACAATAAGCCAGCGAACAATAAGAAAACGCGCCAACATGATCATGCCTAAAAACCGAAGACTTGCAATAACATGAAACGTCCTTTTAAATCTGATGACAATAATTTCCAGTAGGAAGACGAAATGAAATTCCATTTTAACACAGAGAAAAATAATTAGTTATTCGTGTATTTAATACAATTTTTGTTTAAGCCGGGCATCTTATATTCCTTTTAGCTGATCCTTTCTCTTTTTAATGTTCTCTGATAAAAGATGGGTTTGTTGTCTTTATAATAATGAAACAATTAACAGCAATAGTTCATACTAAACTAGTGTAACGAAAGAATTAAATCTTCTGCCTTATATATGCGTTTGAAAAGAAAAGAAAAAAACCGACTGATTATGGAACGTCAAGTATTTTTTGTTAGTTTTCTGTAAAAATAAAAGCTGATAACCATTATACGCAATTTTCTTCTTTTGTCAAAGAACTAGTACATTTTTCTCTTTATTCATAAGTTTGTCGTTACACTGGTAATTTATTTATTATATTTCGATAGGAAGATCTAGAGTGATGAGTGTAAGAGTGACACACAAATAGAACAAAAAACGAAATGACAAAAAGATTCTTGTTAATATACACGACAAATTTTTTTGAATCCAAGACGATGTGAAATCTGGACCCAACCCCCTCAAAACTATAATCTGTAAAAACTTCCCTACGGCAAAGCTTTTGTCCACACTAGGTACATTTGATAGGCAATTGCCTAAGCTTGCCTGGACCCAAAGACCCAGGTGGGTAAAGTTACGGAACTTTTTTTATTGAAGTCCAAAGTTGGGATATGGTGACCAAACCCCCTTCCTTCTTTAATTCATAAAAAGGTCCCTACGGCAAAGCTTTTATCCACACTAGGTACATTTGATAGGCAATTGCCTAAGCTTGCCTGGACCCAAAGACCCAGGTTGGTAAAGTTACGGAACTTTTTTTATTGAGGTCCAAATTTGGGATATGGTGACCCAACCCCTTCCTTCTTTAATTCATAAAAAATTCCCTACGGCAAAGCTTTTGTCCACACTAGGAACATTTGATAGGCAATTGCCTGAGCTTGCCTGGACCCAAAGACCAAGGTGGGTAAAGTTACGGAACTTTTTTTATTGAGGTCCAAAGTTGGGATATGGTGACCCAACCCCCTTCCTTCTTTAATTCATAAAAAAGTCCCTACGGCAAAGCTTCTGTCCACACTAGGTACATTTGATAGGCAATTGCCTAAGCTTGCCTGGACCCAAAGACCCAGGTGGGTAAAGTAACAGAACTTTTTTTATTGAGGTCCAAAGTTGGGATATGGTGACCCTTGCCCCTTCCTTCTTTTAATCATAAAAAAGTCCATACGGCAAAGCTTTTGTCCACACTAGGTACATTTGATAGGCAATTGCCTAAGCTTGCCTGGACCCAAAGACCCAGGTGGGTAAAGTTACGGAACTTTTTTTATTGAGGTCCAAAGTTGGGATATGGTGACCGAACCCCTTCCTTCTTTAATTCATAAAAAAGTTGCGCACCGTACATTGATACATAATATAGTTCGCTAGCCTTTAACAAAAAGAAGAATGAAATCTGCTTTCTCAAAAAGACATTTATTCACACAAACACATTTGTCTTGAATTGCAATCATTTGAATAGTGTTTACATTGTCTATTACGTTATTTTACAAAAAATGTTATGTTAGGAACTATTTCCGAAAGTACGGAAAGCCATTTCACACAACACATAATTCCTACTTGAAAAGTAACTGTTGATAAAATAGCAGGGAATGCTGTTTACACTCAAGATTTAACAAAACATAGAAATTTATCTCCACAAACCAACAAAATATAAATAGTCAACTGACGACAATATCAAATAAGAAGATCTTTATAATGTGGAAATTTTTTTGTAAAAGTAAACGGATGATGACGGCGGAAGACTACGTACTACAGACGTTAAATATTAAAAAAAGCCGACACTGATCCTTTAGGCCAGGTTAGATATAATAGTTAATGCGTGTTTAATATTACACAATATTTCAAGTTAAAACTAGAACTGTCTATTAAGCTGGACTTATAACAGAGCGTCTTGGTATGACTAAGTAATCTAGTTACTGAAAAACATGTTGCTAAAGAAGCTGATAATAATAATTTGGTCTTTTTTCTAGTATGGTACTGTAGATTTATGTGATATATTTTTTTATATCGTGGAAAAATATGAACAACAAAAACAAAGTAGTAGGGGCATCGATGCCCAGTTTAAAGGATTAAAATTAGGAGGGTAGGGGTATCCATACCTCAATTTTGCAAGTCAGTTGAAGAAATTCGGTGAATTTACCGTCCTCTGCTGTCTGGTCCGGGCAACTTAAAGGCCTTACCTATCATGATCTTCGTCGTAGGAAATTTTTAAATTTTGGACGGAAGGATCTCCTTACCCCGACTTTGAACCTCAGTTGCAGTAGTTCCGTGAATTAAACTCACCTTGGTCATCTTATCCAGGCAATTTCATCTGTACCTGGTGTGGTCATTCTTTGCCGCGTAGAGAATATTTTTTACGAATTAACGTTTTGAGGGAAAAAAGGTCTCTATATCCCAACTTTGGACCTCAGTTGCAAACGTTCAGAGAATTTATCCAACCGGACCATCTATTCCAGGCAACAAATAGGGAATTGCCTATCATTTGTTCCTAATGTAGAAAAAAAGCTTAGCTGTTATGATTTTTTGACAAAAATTAAAATAGGGATGTGATAGGGTACGTGTGTAAACCCCAAATAAAAAAAACAGTTGTAGAAGTTCTGGAACTTCGCTCACCTGCAGGTTCTGTAGGTCCAGGTATCCGTCGGCAATTGCCTATCATTTGTTACCAGAGTGATAAAGCTTTGCTGTGATTTTTTTTACGAATTAAAGTTAGGAGATATGGTCTACAAACTTTGGACCTAAGTTGTAAAGGTACCGTAACTTTACCCATCTTGGTCTTTGGGTGTGGGCAACCTTAGTCTATGATCAATCAGTTGTACTTAATGTGGGCGAAAAACTTTGGCCGATGAAAATTTTTACACGAATTGAAATTTGTTGGAGTAAGATCTCCATACCTAAATTTTGGACCTCATTTATAGGAGTTCCATAACTTTACCCACCTGGGTCCTTTAGTCGTCCAGGCAACATTATGCAATTGCCTATCATTTGTACTTAGATTGGACAAAAGCTTTGCCGTAGGGAATTTTTTATGAATTAAAGTTGGGAGGTGGTAGGGTCACCCTAACTCAACTTTGGACCTCAATTAAAATTATTGTCATCAGATTTATTAGTACGTTTCGTGTTAATGCAAGTCTTCGGTTTTTAGGCATGATCATGTTGGCGCGTTTTCTTATTGTTCGCTAGCTTGATGCATCTTATTGTTCGCTGGCTTATTGTTCGCTTGCTTGAGTCTGGTGTGTAAAACGTATGTTTTTGTGCGTTCAATGCATGTTTTTTTCAACATGCGTATAACAGGCGTGCAAAAACATATATTAAATATGCGTTACAAAACGCATGAAATATATCACATGTGTAAAACATGTGTTTTTACAAACACATGTAAAATACATGTTTTACGTACGTTTTACATGAATTTCACAATGCTGTTTTTTGATAACTGATTTTTGATCTTTGGCATAGTTTTTTATTTTTTAAGTGGAAATTTAAAACAATTTAAAAATGAAAGACTAAAGTCACATTTTAATATATTACCTTTTATTCTATACACATTTGTTAAAGTAAATAAAAAAGTAAAACAACAAATATTTTTTATGTTTCTGAATTTATTAGTTAAAATTTCATAAAATTCAGAGAAAAAACATGAGTTCAAAATCTTTTTTTGAAAATATGTTGATTTAATAATATAAAATACAAAGGGAAAAAGAAAATGAATTTTATAGTTCTGTCCACATACTGTATTCATAAAGATGCATGCTTGGATAAAATATTCTATTTAAATCTTTTTTCCCCCTCTACATTTTGTGAATTTTAACCCAATTTCCATCAGAATCATACACAATAGACAGAACTGCTGAAAGTTTACTAACAGTTCTAACTATTTATCTTAATTAAATCATGGCTCCTAAATTAACCACTTTTCAAATATTATCATTAAAGCAGACAACAAATTAGGTCAAGGCAATGCAACATGACAAATATATCAGAAGTTGTAGATTTACTTGATAGTGACAATAATTTTTCTTAAAAGGTGAACAGCGGTTTAACTAGTTTTCTATACAATATCATATAATTGTAGCAAACAGTCACATCCTTTATCCCACCGTCTAAAGTGTTGACCGCTTCAATAACACTGGCAGATACAGAAAGGGGGGGGGGGGGGGGGGGGGGGGGGGTCCGTGATGTTGGAACCCCCATTTTTTGACGATCAAAGCATTTGAATGAAGACATATGGTTGGAACCCCTCTTTTATCCTTGGTTGGGAAACCCATTTTAAAAATGGCTGGATCCGCCCCTAAATAAGAACTTGAAAGTTTGAAAAATATATGAAAATTATAAAAATATGTCTGCCTATAATATTAATGTTTTAATTTTAAAGCATTTTGTTAAACTCAGCTTGGATAGACAAAATTCACACATTGTTAAAATGAAATGCTGTAAAGTATGTAGGTCAATTATTGTGTTAACTGACTAAATATATATTTAGATATTCGATATGCTGTCATTTTAATATGGTCTTTTCCTTTACTTCTCATTATTAATGTCCTTCAAAAGAATCATGAGAGTATCATCTGTAACAAGTTTGGTTAATTCTATATTTTGATTCAATGTATCTTTTAAGTTCTATTCATCACAGTACAGTCCTGTTGCTACACATGACTGGAACTGCTTCATGGCACATTTACTTTTCCTTTTTAATTTGCCAAAGACATTTCCCTGTGACAATTTCTTCTGTAAACATAAAAAAGGGTGATTAAGTAAAATGACTAATAGCAATTTTAAACATTGGTGATGTTTATATTAAGATGTCGTATTTCACCAGAACTGAATGTACATGTACTTTAAAGGAGTTAAAGTTCATGAAAGGCAAATATATAATAAACATTCTTATGAAAAAAATGCAAAATCAACAAGTCATTATACTTGAAATTAGTAACAAATGCAATTTTCAAGATCAGCTTAACTCCTGCAAAAAAAAGCTAATCAGCAACATTTATTGAACTCATCCATGACTTTGGCTTGCCAAACTAACCTTTGAATTTGATAAAAATTTCATAATCAAAGAGCTGATTGCTCTGAGGTGGAAGAAGATGCATAAAAGGTAACTTGAATTACAATAAAAGCAGCCCCCACCAACCCAGCCTGCTTTGTCCCATTATTGCTTTCGACGTATTTTTTTCTTCCAAAAATAATAATACTCATAACTTAACCAAAACTCACTATACTTAACATAAAAATCTGCAAATACTGTTGATTCAAATTAAATTTTCTATAACTAAATTCCATACATTCGTCTCAGCATGGTCAACTTGATGCAATGCAATTTCGCCAAGCAATTATAACAGTAATTGATTTGGTTTCACTTGAAAGTTTTCTGTCAAAAGCAGATAGTCAACTTTAAAAAAACTGGCCACCAAGATTTTAGTCAACTTTGCTTAAACTAGGGATTTTCATTATAAACATATATTGAAAAATTCTAAATATATCCAATGCAGATATGTGCCAGGCCAAGGATTGACTGGTCATGTCAGGTGATGACCTTGCTATGTTATAGCGATAATTTAGAGTCAAGCGCACACGTGAATCTGCTGGTGTTTTACACATCAAACGATGCACCGTCAGTTGACAGAATCACGTGTGCGCTTGACTCTTTAAGCATTTCAAACCCGTTCATTTAAAGTGCTTGACCCATATATATCATATTTGTTTTTCGTCTAATATTTTTACACAAAAGTATGAGGGTAGGAATGGCATTTTCCGTCAGGAGTCACACAGCCCTTTTCTGAAATTTTTCGTGAAAATAAAACTATTGACAACAACGAATTACTGGTTCTGTACTCGAACCTCGATAATGTATGTACCTTAATAACGAATAACGGTAAAGAGCTGGATTATTCAGTTGTTAGATCCCGTTTTTTATCACTTCTAAAACTTTGAAACGTATTAAGGCAATAAAGGCAATAATTGGGAACATTCCGACAATGACCGAAATGGAATCCGTCAACAGACATTAGTTTGTACATTGATATTTCTGTCAACAGACGGTGCACCGTTTGATGTGTAAAACACCAGCAGATTCACGTGTGCGCTTGACTCTTTATTATCGGAATAACTAAATATTCTAACTTTCGTTTTAAAAAACACATGTTGTCTAAAACTGGAATATGACTTAATTGATTGCATTAAAGATCTGAACGCAGACGGAACGAACAAATCAAATGAGTGTTCCGTTGCTTTTAATACTTATTATATTATATTCATGTTTATTTAAAAAGCAAATTTTTGCAATATTTAAATTTTAGGCCAAAATCTTGACATTTGAAAATATTTGATTTAAACGTCAAAAACAAACATCCAAATTTCAATATTAAAATGGCCCTAGTTTCTATAATATATATCCTATGGCCATGAAACTTGGCCAACTATCTTATAATTTCCTAAGCTTAGGTCATGCAAAGTTTTATTAAAATTGGTCAAGTCTTTCTATCCTATTAGGTCCAAGGACACAGTTATCGTCCTTTTGATTTTCATAAATTTCTGATATGACGTTAATAAGTTATTTATTTTTATAACTTTAAAAACGTGACGGGCGTATCATGCGCTCATTGCACAGCTGTTATTAGCTACATATACTACAAGAAAGTTCACGTACACTTGTTTTATAGTAAAACTTAGCTAGTACTTCGGTACTGACATGATTTATAACAAACTTTCTAAAATTACCCGTGTATAAAATTTGAAATTATAAAAAACTGAGGTTTCAACTCTGTCAGGCAAAGTTGGCCTTAGATGGATTTGGCTATTTTTTTAGGTCCTTTTTGGTTTATAGCTCTTCAACGTTTTCGGTCCTCATATATCCTTGTCTTTTAAATATTCGGCTTTGATCGTTCCTGATGAAGGTAAATCCAGAAAAGGGCTTCGGACGCATGACATTTATAACGTGTTGTTTTCATATTTAGCAGCACTGAGTCGATACCTCTGCTGGTGGACTATCAGTTCCCGAGGGTATCATCAGATCAGTGGTCAGTACTACGGTACTGACATGATTTATAACAAAACTTTTCTAGAATTGTCCGTTTATAAATTTTGAAATTAAACAAGAAACTAAGGTTTCAACTCCCTCAGGCAAAGTTGACCTTAGACGGATTTTGCTATTGTTTAGGTACTTTTTTGTCATATATCTCTTCAACTGTTTAGGTTCTTGTACATCCTTAGCTCTCAAATATTCGGCTTTGAGCGTTCCTGATGAGGGTAAATCCAATACATATTCAAAATTGCAACAGTAAAATTGATCTTCTTCTAATTTCAATTAAATACACAAATGTTTTCTTAAAAGTTTAAAATAAATAGAAAAATTACAGAAATATATTGTTTAAATGTTTCGAGAGATGCAGTTTGAAACTAAAATGTTCCTTTTAAAAAAAAGGCTTTCTAACTATTTTCGATTTGACACAGGTTACTGTTCTTAAGTTTGACTTTGCTTTTTTATATTTTCGCAGAACTGAAATACTTCATGTTTGGTTTGTTTGGCTCTTGCATTTACAAGAAAACGCTTAATGGTACTGCATTCAGGTAAACAGACTTAAACTTGATCAATCTTTTCTTTAAAGGAAATAATATGCACTTATTGTTGAATTATAAGGACAACATCAATTTGTTGGTACCTATAAAACTTGGTTTATTCCACCATTTTCGGAAAATACATGTGCCAAGTCAGGAATATGACAACTGTTTTCCGGTCGTTTCGTTGGTTGATAAGTCGAGCGTTTGTTTGTATCAGGTTTCATGGACTTCCCTCTTTTTGAATATACCTTGGAGTTCGTAATTTTTGTTAACAAGAATTTTTGTCACTTCCACATTCAGTAAGTGAGTTTGTTTCTTTACCAGGTTTTTTAAAACACAGGAGCAAAATACCAAGAGTAGATTCGAAATTAAGTGTTGTACTTAAGCAAACAAGACAACTTTCAAAGACATTTCCCCTACATTATTTGTTATGCGTAGGTTTATAATAATGGTTCGTGTAGATTTGTTTCTATTTTCTGTTGAGTTCTATCGGAGATTGGTTTATTGATTTGAACACAGATTGAGATGACAAAGACGACCGACACATTCACATATTATCTTATAACGTATTGATTCCTCTTTTTTGGTTTGTCTGTTGATTTTTTTTTATATTTCAGCATTTTATTTTTACCCTGCGATAAAGTCCAAGTCACGCGAATAGCAAAAGATGTCATATTTGTCCAATAAAAACATTTGAAAGCAAAAAATGTATCAGACCTAAACACGCAAAGTGCTATATGACCAAAAGGGACCTGACAAAAATACCCAAATTCATCTTAGGTCAATACGACAGTTGTTCAAAGCCACATATGATATATTTCCTTAGTGTGATAAAAGAGTTCAATGATATACTTTTACCATCTTTTTGTTCCATTACGGAAAATGATACTGGAATCAAATGTTTTGTTCTGGCAACGTACGTTTCTGTAAGTTTAGACATAATATAGTGTTTCTTACCATAAGAATAAGATAAGAACACCAATGATTTGCACGAAACAAATACCTGAAAAACAAAAACATTTTTTTTAGAAAATTAAAATCATGCTCTTGCATGAAGTATTTTTTTCTTAATTGTCTATAGTTCTATCAAAACAAATGTTTTTATTGATTTGACTTGAGATAACCATTTAGCTATTTTTCTTCTTTATTTTTCAGGTGCTGTAAGTTAAAAAGAAAACAAACAGGTTGTATAGCTCTCACAAATATTGTAACAAGGTATACTTAACCAGCGGTGTCAGATGTATATTCTAAAAAAATCTACAGATCTACGTACTGCTAAATCTAGGATCAAAATCTTTACAATTTACAATGTAGTAGTAATTTCAAAACTTTTGATTCTGCTACGATGTACATTACTATTAAATAATATGCTATAATCAGTATGACTAATATGGAATTTAAAAGATCAACTTATATACGTTGAATACGGCTGTTTGGCTCGGTTAACAAGTTTTTTTCATACGGACCAACTGTATCTATTTCCTGTCATACGAACTGGCCATACAGACCAGCTGTAGCTACTTCCTGTCATACCAGCCACATGGACTGTTTTGATTATTTGATAAAAGTGTTACCAACTTGCTGATTCTGTGTTGGCCCTGTATTGATTCTGGGTCAGCTGTATTGGCCCTTGGTCCTACGGCCCTCGGGACGGGCCGAGGGCTAATACAACAGACCTTGAATCAATACATAGGCCAAAACAGAATTAGCAAGTTAGTAACACTATAATATTACCCACGCTCATTCGAAATATCACATACATCGTCTCGTTGAACAGGGCTTTTTCTAAACACAAATGGAATCGTAGAAACAAAAGAAAGTTGGTATTCCAATGGGTACTTATTGTGCATTCCTACTAACCGACTTCATTTTGAGCTCATTTAAAGTAGAAATTATAAAAAAATATTCCTTTAAGAAAAAGAACAAAAAATCATTTTGCAAACAGGTTGTATAGCTCTCACAAATATTGTAACAAGGTATACTTAACCAGCGGTGTCAGATGTATATTCTAAAAAAATCTACAGATCTACGTACTGCTAAATCTAGGATCAAAATCTTTACAATTTACAATGTAGTAGTAATTTCAAAACTTTTGATTCTGCTACGATGTACATTACTATTAAATAATATGCTATAATCAGTATGACTAATATGGAATTTAAAAGATCAACTTATATACGTTGAATACGGCTGTTTGGCTCGGTTAACAAGTTTTTTTCATACGGACCAACTGTATCTATTTCCTGTCATACGAACTGGCCATACAGACCAGCTGTAGCTACTTCCTGTCATACCAGCCACATGGACTGTTTTGATTATTTGATAAAAGTGTTACCAACTTGCTGATTCTGTGTTGGCCCTGTATTGATTCTGGGTCAGCTGTATTGGCCCTTGGCCCTACGGCCCTCGGGACGGGCCGAGGGCTAATACAACAGACCTTGAATCAATACATAGGCCAAAACAGAATTAGCAAGTTAGTAACACTATAATATTACCCACGCTCATTCGAAATATCACATACATCGTCTCGTTGAACAGGGCTTTTTCTAAACACAAATGGAATCGTAGAAACAAAAGAAAGTTGGTATTCCAATGGGTACTTATTGTGCATTCCTACTAACCGACTTCGTTTTGAGCTCATTTAAAGTAGAAATTATAAAAAAAAATTCCTTTAAGAAAAAGAATAAAAAATCATTTTGCAAAGTTCTTTATGCCACCTTTAGATATATTGATGATGTTTTCTCACTCAATAACCAACATTTCAGTGATTGTTTGAATCTTGCATCTCATATAACCAAGTGAATTTGAGATTGAGGATACTACCAAAACTAGAAGGTTTGTTTAATATCTTGATATTTTCCTCGATATTGACACAGATGGACGACTTCAAACTAGAATCAATGACAAACTTGATGATTTCAGCTATCAAATTGTAAACTTTCCATTTCTCTGCATAAGCATACAATCAGCCCCATCGTATGAAGTTAACATATTTTAATTTATACTTTTCGCTCTAACATGTTCACACTATATGGACTCCATTAGTGCTCCTTACATAAAAAATGCTCCAACAGAGATATGAAAATAAAAGACTGAAATCGACACTAAATGAGTTTTACAGTCACCATCACGAATTAATTTGACGGATTATACCTCAGTTTTTGTTTGTTATCTTGATTGGTCTTCTTAATCGATTTATGAGATTTAAATATCAGTAAAATACTAGTACTGTCGTCTAAATTTATCAAAAATTTTGAAAACAAATCTTCAAATTATGTTGTTTTACCGATGGTGTCCTATTCCCGATTGTGACATGTTGACAGAGTGAAATCGCATAGAGGGTGGTGCAAAGTCTAGTGTAGACGAAACATACATCAGGCGTAACAACTTATACACCTGGTATTTTTGATGAGGTTTTTAATCCATAAATACACTCAATTACGGTAATTTTCGTTTTTATGAGCGGAAGTACAGAAAAAAGTAAAATAATAAAAATACCGGACTCCAAGGAAAATTCAAAACGGAAAGTCCCTGATCAAATAGCAAAATCAAAAGCTCAAACAAATCAAACGAATGGAAAATAACTGTCATATTCCTGACTTGGTACAGGAATTTACTTATGTAGAAAATGGTGGAATAAACCTGGTTTTATAGCTGGCTAAACCTCATTTCCGTTTTGGCAGACCTAACGAAATTAATGGCCATTATCGGACTATATATTCTGACATCTTCTGGCTTTAATTTTTTATGACCTTACAAATCAAATAAAAACATTACTTATTAAATCTAAGATATGTCAGCAAATAGGATTAAAAACAGTTACCTATAACCAGCAAAATCAGCACCGAGACGACAATCTTTAGGACAGGAACTGTAAAAAATAACAATGCATTTTTTGTTGTTGAGTAAAATGATTTTCAAAGAAAAATTTTGAAAAAATTATAAACTCAAAAAATTCCCAGTAACTATTGACATTTCCCTAATATGATTAATTTTATAAATAATGTATGTCACTCTAGAACATGACTTGCCTTCATAGTCCACAAACAAGTTTTATATATATTCATAAAGGGTATTTGTATTTTCTTAAATATTGCTTGTATATGATTCAAAATTTCAAATTCTGTTACCATTTATTTAACGTGCTCAGCGTTATCCAATAAGTTAAAAAGTAAAATAACATACGTTTATAACATGAATATTCAATAGAATCATTTTGAATACAAAGGTTTTTTATCTGGTCCTCAGTCTTTAGAAATAATACGTATACACCTTGCAACATGAATAACACCTAAATCTGACCGATAGGTAAAAGGCTCTGTGTAAATTAACGATACATTTTTAGGGCTTTATGCACATGTAGAATAATGCTGCTAATATTTAACCTAAAAGGTAAATGGTTAACGATGAAAAATGTATTTTTTATCGAATAATAAAGCCTAAATATGACAGCAAGAGTCATCAAATATATTAGACAGAACAACAAACCATCAGACTAGACCCCTAAAAATAAACGTACAGACAAAGACATGGAACAACAAACAATATATATACTGTCAAGCAAAGTCTTTTTTCGAAAAATAACGCTTGTATAAAGAGACAGCATTGTGTTAAGGAATTGTATACTGAAAGTAATACCTACGATCATTATAATCATGAGAATCACTTGGCACATTTTTGGACAGGATCTGTGTTTCAGTATCTTCTCTGATAATAATTAGAAAATTTTAAAAGTGATATGAAATCATCAAATGCAAAACAAATAAATATAAAAAACATTTATCAAAACGAAAATGTCACGCTCACCAATTATACGATACAAAAGCTTAGGCAAATTATAGTTCATCAAAATTAAACGCGTTGTTTTCGCAACGTTGCGAATGATAAGCATACAAAGGAACTTACTTTAAATAAATCAAATATTAACAGCAATAACTGTCCTTTCCTAGATTTATGTATTTCAGTTTTACATAAAAATGTACGACAAAAGGGATGATTTTACTTTTACTGATGTTAATTTTCCATTTTTAGACGGTGTTGTTCCTTTGGCACCGTCTTATGGTGTTTATGTATCCTAACTCGTTCGCTATGCTCGTGTCTTTAGTGACATTTTGGATTTCAATGACTGTAAGCTATGTTTTACTGGTAATTAATTAAGTCAGGGATTTCGTTACCACAAATTACTTAAAACATTTACTAAATTCTTCCATAGAAGCAAAGATTTGGTTTTCAAGTTTGGCCATACCTGTAGAAAACTTATTTCAAACGGAATAGCATATCCTAAATTTTACGCTGATGTTGTTTACCGAGCCCGGAAATTTAGATAAGATCCGGGTAAAATGAGGAATCTTTTAAATAAACTTATTCTAAAATGTTACCAATTCAACACTGTAATTAGATCTTTGAATATTGTTTTATTGGTATAAATACTGATACCAATATCAGTAAATTAAAACCTTACTAAATATTATTGTTATGCACATATGCACTTTCACGGTACTACAATCTGTCGATACCTATATTTTGGCATTGCACAAGGTCATATTTTTCTCTGACTGTTAATGACGTCTTTACACTAAATCCGTTGGATGTTGGATGTGTACTGATTAATATTTAAGATACTAATACATCATTTTTTTTATTAGTTGTTATTGGCTTAAAACTAGCTGTCAGTAACTACAAGTACTCTTAGATCTGGTCTTTGTGTCTTTTGGGATGTATAAATAACCTGTCACGTACAGTCTGTGTTTTTTATATGTTTTTCTTCTTTGTATCGATCTGATGAGTTAAGCCCTTTTCAACTGATTTTTATAGTTTGTTCTTACGTTGTGCTGTAACACCACTGTCCCAGGTTAAGGAAAGGGTTGAGCGCCCACAAACATGTTTAACCCTACTGCATTCTTTATGTGTCTGTACAAAGTCAGGAGCGTGTAGTTCTGTGGTTGTCGTTGGATCATGTCTGTCATATTTGTTTTTCGTAAAATATTTGTTTTAAATTATGCGGTTAGTTTTCTCAATTGAATTGTTTCATATATTTCATGTCGGTGCCTTTTATAGCCGACTATACGGTATGGGTTTTTCTCATTGTTGAAGGCCGTACGGTTACCTATAATTGCTTACATCCACTTTTTTTCAACTTTGGTGGATAGTTGTCTCAATGCAATCATACTACATCTCCATATCTTTAACGTCATCAAGTCGGTTACGTGAATTTTAAAGTATTTTTAATGGAAAATGTACATGAAGTACACTGCAATATCTACTCCGCGGGCATACAATTCGATGAAAATGAAGACTGCTTGGTTTTCTATTATCAATAAATTCGTATATGACAGTAGTTCGTATTGAGTTTTGATGTACGGTGGGAAAAGCTACACGACAATGTTGCATTAAGAATACACTGCAACGTAATTTAGCGCCACAAGGATAGATATGATCTCTATTATTTAAACAAAATATTTTTTCTTTTTCTAGCTAGCAAAAAATGAACGCATGGACCCAAATTTTTTTCCCTTTTGCAATCGAATGTGTACTACTTCTATAATGTTATAAACAATTGCAAGAAAGAATCAACGATAGATTTTATCCTATATGCATTTTTATTAGAAAGAAAAATGTCTTCGGCTTTTTATTTTCGATATAATATGATTCTTTAAAATTCTAACTCATTAAACTTTTATTGTAAAGACTGCCCGAAAGGCAAGTAAATAAAGGAACACTTTAAAAAAAAAACCGGTGATAATACCCCTTTCCGATTAAAAATGGGGTCAATTTTTCGGAAAAGTATTGAAAAATGTAAATTTGTGTTTTGACATGAAACATGCAAAATTCAATCTCAAATATCTCGGAAGGCAAGTCATAATGGGATAATTTTTCTCTGCATATTTCGATAGTGCTTATCAAAATTGACTTTGTGTCAATATCGTAAGGAAAATCAACTAGGGATGTTTTCTGTATTGTATGCCTTTAAGGATTGAATCGGTACCGCTGCTAACAAACTGTTAGTGAAGAGGATACTGTCGTCCAAGAATCAAGGGCTTAATCATTTTGCCTGATATAAATGATATATGTCCATTTAGATTGTGCATGTTCGGTAAACATGATAACAAAGACCGAATCAGCACTCACAACTAAAAACAAAAAGTATAACAAAATTACTGAACTCCAAGGCAAATTCAAAAAAGGGAAGTCCATAAAAACTGACAAAATCAAACGTTATTAATCAAGTGAAAAAAACTGTCATATTCCTGACTTAGTACAGGCATTTTCCGAAGGAAATGGTGGGTTAAACCTGGTTTAATACCTAGCTACTTTCCAATTGTATGAAAGTTGTTTACTGTCCCGTTATATTGAAAAAAATGGTTAAGCAACCCAAACAGACCGAGGTTAATGTGGCTATAATTGTGATCCAGCAGTCATACATCACAGACATACAACACAACTGAATTAAAAATTCAAACAAACATACAAATTAATCTAGCAAATACGCCAACAAAACAATTGTAGAAGAAGAGAGACCGACAACATTATGACAGAAATATAAAATGTCGAAATAACAAACAGCAGTCTACAATAAACTATATAAAAGCTAAAGACTGAGCAACACGAATCAAACCAAAACAATGGTGATCTCACGTGTCTCGGAACGGTAAGCAGATCCTGCTGCAGATGTGACAGTCGTTAACATTTGATGGAAGAGATGTCCTTTGTCAGTCTATTTGGTAATGATACTTATTTTAGGTACTTGGTACAAGTAATTATGCTCGTACATATTTTAATTGGTAACATATGTTAATAAATACTTTATTTAGTACAGTTATTGGCAATAGTTTTGTATGTACATCTACACGTATAGGAACAAGTAATTTCATTATTACTTTGGCTGCATAAGATCTGACCAAATCTTTTTCGCGTGTCGTTAGGACAACTGAAGGCTTACACACCGTGCTAAATTTTCAGTCTTAATCAGGACTGTGTTCGAATTGTAAACAATACGTAAAGTTATTTCAGTAATAAAACAACTGTAAATTGACGATGTAAATAAAAAGGGTTGATTAATCTATCATGCATATTCTTCAATTATTACTTTTTTGTGAATATAAATTAGTTTGCATAGAATTCCTGGCAAATTATATATTTAAAAAAAACTGACGCTATCATACAATGAGTCGCTCTTATATATATATATATATATATATATATATAAAAACAACCGTTAATATGTCGTTCAGTTGTGTTTTCTCAAGCTGCACATAAAACATTCAATGTTTGATTTTCATTCGATTAAGTAATGTCACAGATGAGTTTTCTTTGTTGGCAAATGAATGTATAGGCAGATCTGCGATTTTTTTGCAATTTGCATAAAAAGTTAAAAAGTCACAAAGGATCAGCAAACATAGTCGTGACAAGAAAGAAAAATCCAACAAACATTTCACAGAAAAACTAAAAACCTAAAGTGAAGGCACGTGCTAGAAAAGGGTTCATGTTTCCTGTTTTGTTGATGAAAACCGTCGTGTTGTGATTTCAGTCAATAAACTGGTGATTAGTAACATTCGATGACGTCACGAATAAGGAAAGAAGGACATACTGGTGGATACGACAAATGAAACATATCAGTGAGTACTTATTCCAAAACGGTCAATCAAGTCTGCAAACCTCGCAAGAATTACTCTCTCTTAAGATCTCTTATTCCAATAGCTTCCATGTAAGCAGTTACTTTATCAAATTGAAAAAACGAAATTTCTCGAATATCTTTAAAAAATGGGATATATACTAGTTAAAAAAAAAAAAAAAAAAAAAACGATACACGACTTGACAAAGCAATATTTTTCAACTTTACAAATTCATAATAGAAATAGATAACTATAACAAACTGAATCATCAACAGTAATAAGTGTAAAAACTAAAGATGCACACAAAAATACGGATCAAAGTTCCAATACGGAAAGTGATCTTTACGAGATCTAGCTGATATTGGAAATGACTTCTTCTTGACGCAAATATTAATTGCTTCCAATCTTCAACACATAGGTCTATTCAGTCTTTGATAAATTGAGGTATGTTACATCCCACAAACGAAGCGATTTGTTGCTAGTCAAGCGTTTCCGGTGCGTTCGAGCAATGTTTTACTCGACAATATGGTATTCCACCTTCACTTTCGTGTACTGAATTTTATTGACACTGGCCATTCTTACAATGTTGGTTTCTATTATTTTCCCTCTTAGTATGAATTTGATTGATTGATTATTATTGCTAAATTAATTAATTGCTAAATTTAATGAATATTCATTACGAGAAGGAAGCAACAATAAAATAGCATTTTAACTCATATTGGAAATATGGCGTTCGAATAACCATGATCTTTCAATTACCTTGCAACAGGCAGCAAACAGTGTTTTTAACGTGTTCAATGCAGATAGAGAGGTATTCTCATAACATAGGTAATAGATCATGAGCAGAAGCCGGTGAATATGCATGCTGCACATCCCAAAAGGACTTCCCATCAGCATTTGTCTAATGTTTAAGTAGATTTTTTACAATCTTCCTTTCTAGTTTTAAGGAATGACAATAAAGATAATTCATTTATAAATATGTTATCTTACACACTTATAGCTGGTATTGGACACTGTGAGTTTGCAAGCAACTCCTCCACTGATGCACATTTATAATCTGAAGAAGAAAATCCTTTTAATTACAATATAATAAGTTTACGTATAAAAACCAAAAAAATAAATCTTAGATCAAATAAAATCAACATCTATAGATTTTACTACTGTGTTAAAATTATAACCTTTAAAGAATAAATTTAATCATAGAATCAATGAGATAAATTGGATTTTGTAGCTAAATTTACGGTCTCTATAAACAACATGACCGTAAAAATTAAGATGTGATATCCCGTTTGAAAATGAATTCTGCAGGTGCAGCCAAACTTTATAACTAAATATTTGAATCTATGAAAGAATTTGATAAAATTTCTAATTAATTTGTGGTAACGAAATCCCTGATTTAATAATTTCCCTTGTATACATAAATTACCTCCATTGAAATCTAATGCTCGACTACGCGACGACAGACGCAGACTTTCTTGAATAGTACGTAATTTAATAGAAGAAAGGGAACTAGTTAACAGGACACATGGGACAGACAGATTAGTCGTAGAACACTAACTATAAAATGACATGAAACGTAATTTGAAGAATTTTTCTGTAGTTTGGGCAGCCAATACATAGTAGGAACCTTCAAATGTTCAGAGGAGGTCTAAAGCTGAAATGTGTTAGTGACATGATTATTTATTATTTGACTCTCTGTAGAGCGCACGGCCTTGAATGAGGAAACATTTATATTTCACTCTTAAGAACTTTCGTTTAGTATTTACGTCATACCACCACCACCACATTGTTGGCTGCTTTGTAGGCTGGTACGAACACAAACCGCTTTGCTAGTACTTGCATTTTGTTTTTATCTTGAAATTGAGCGCATTACTAACCCTTTTATGTATTTTTAAATTATTTTCGAAATGTGATATCTCCCCAATATTCAAACATTCATTCAAATAGGAATCAAGTGATTTTTTGTCAGATTTCTCCCGTTTACATCAGTTTTTATAATAGGACGAAGGAGCAAGTAGTGTTCGACAAAGGACGATATTTTAGTCCTTTTTCGGAAAGGTTATAACCTCTTGGTCGATTTTGAGGTGCCCTGTTATTAAATGACCATATGGATCATATTCAAAATTCGATGATTCATGAAAAATCATTGTATTCTATACTGACGTCTGTTGTAACTGACGTATAATCACAAATGAAACTTCTTCTGGCTTTTTATACGTGTATGAAATTATAGGGGCTCTAAATTATCAAAATACAGATGTTTAAAGTTTTGAACGGTATAGTCATTCAAAATACTAGGCAAATTTAGAATATGCCTTTTATGGTCTTCATGTTTGTAATACGAGGGAACAGCTGTGTATGGTGACAACAAGCTGTAATGATGCGTGTACACTCAAATCTTGTGTTGAATAACAATATTGAGTAATTTACTAATTGGTATATGACCCAGCTTGCACAATAAATATAGATATGGATGTTCTTGTGGTTATATGAAAAATTCACGTCCTGTTTGTCCTACATTTTGTATACCACATTTCGGTTAATTCATGTTACAAGAAAGTTTAGGCTGTGGATTTTTCAAGTAATGTCATTTTCTGGCATTGGTCGGGAATAATTGTGGATATCCTTATCTACATTTGTTGCATAATCTAGTTGCATTATTAAACACGTTTATGAAAAATGCTAAATTTAGAGGTCAATTTCGATTTGTGGCAGTTGAATTTATGTTTGAAATGTAGTTTTTTAAGCTCGTAGATATTCGGGAAGTGGAAATTTTTTTTTTTAATTTTACCTTTTCTAACACCTTTTCATGAAATATCCAACTCTGGAGGAAAAAATAACTGTTCAAACCATACAAATGTGCAGAATCTCAAAAACACTAACCAATTCAGTGCAGTATTGTTTTTCAATACCAAAATAGACATTGTTGTAGACAAACAACGTGCCTCTATAGTTTCTGCAGACAAAAACTGATTTCAAAAGAGAAGGGATAAAATCCGCTTTTCTTTTAAAATCCAGAGAGACTCCGTTATCTGGACCGCATTTAGAACTTTTGTCAGGCTTAAGTGTTTAAGAAGTTTTCGACTAGATTGATTCAGAGAAAAAGGCTAACCCGCTGCATTTGTATGCAACTGTCTTAAGTCAGGAGCCTGTTGTTTAGTGGTTGTCGTTTGTTTGTGTTGTTCATAAGCGTTTCTCGTTTCTCGTTTTTTATATAGATTAGACGATTGGTTTTCTTGTTTGAATTGTATTACACTAGTCATTTTGGGGCCTTTCAAAGTTTGCTGTTCGGTGTGAGCCATGGCTTCGTGTTGAAGGCCGTTCTTTGACCTATAATGTTTTACTTTTTATACATTGTGACTTGGATGGAGAGTTGTCTCATTGGCACTCATACCACATCTTCTTATTTATATCTTACGCAGCCATTAAAGATATTCTGATAAAAGATCTTGTCAGCTAGGTTTTCGAACCTGCCTACTGTGTAAATCCTTTATCGGTGTCTGTTCAACAGAAAAAAATCAGACTTATTCTAGATCTAAGGCAAGAAGAAGGTTTAGAAGAATTTATGTATGCCAAAAATGGCAATTATATGCTTACATTTGCTCTAGGATTGGTCATGCTTACATTTGCTCTAGGATTGGTCATGCTTACATTTGATCTTGGATTGGTCATGTATTTAGGAAAGGAAATGAGGATATCACCAAGATTGCTTTGCCTGGCGTAGAAAAGTAGAAACTGAGATGAAAGACCTTGGGAAGACCTGGAAGACCTGGAAGGAGATTGAGAAGAAGGCAAATGTGGCGGGGACTGATTGAGACCTTATGTGCTGACAGGCACGAAGAGGATGAGACCTGAGATTTGATTTTACCAGCGAATAATATCATATAAATATCCAATCTAATTTTCATATATTCAGGTTTTTCTGAAAAATTTAGTATTAAGATACGACTTTTCGTATTTTCAGTTCTAGCAGCGCTATTTATATATTTACAAAGAAATGAGACCCTTAGTTTCTTTAGTCTCCTTTTGGAGGTCTGTGGATATGTGATGATTTCTAGAGTTGTGAGTAGGCAAGTGTACATTTGCAAAATTATCTTAAACACGCAGGTTTTCTTGGGAATGAAGAAAAAAGTCAATGGCACCCGGTTCAAGTTTTGGATTGTTTGGATTTTACTTGGAACCTTTTGGAGGGAGCCATTGATATACCTGTTCATCAATTTGAAAATCTCCGCACTTTAGTGCATAACCTTAAGCTTATAATACGCTTCACTTTTGGTGTCAAAATATTGATAGTTCCCCTTGATGCGGACTACCAGAGCGTATTATTTACACGTATGTAAGCTGGTATTTTACTAGATGAGGCTACCTAGAATTCCACTGTATGTGGAATGAGATTGATAAAGGTCTCATACTTTAGAGAGCTAAAAGATGTAGATTAATTACTGAAGCCACTGGTGTTCAAACCTTAAGAACAAATTTGTAAAACTATATTTAGATATTAATCAGAATGTCATTAGAATTGTTAAAGTTGGCAATATGAAGTCATCGCTTCAGTGATTGGCGTTCTCTGTATTTCATACTTGTCTTCTATGTAATATTGATTGATTAGTTGCTTGGTTGCCCAGACAAATTCTACCAGTGATTTCATTAGTAAGAAATCGACTTTGACGATTTGGGTTTACATTAGCGTATTTTCAGATATTTTGATTTTGGCCCTTTTACACGTGATACATTTGCTATTAGTAACAACTATAAAGTTGGGAAAAACGTTATTCTTTATTCTAGACGCCAGGTACTAGTGGGGTTTACGCTTTCGCCCACAATTGGGCATTCGAGTACAGCTGAATAGTCATATACAGTTGAAAACGGTTAGACATTTGTTTTTTTTTTGTAGATCTAAACGTGTACTAGGTGTGCCAAAATGGTTATCGGCATCTTTTAGTCGGCTATCGTTGATTTGAGTGAACAATTTAAACCTTGCATTGTAGATTAATTAGAATCATATAGAAATATCCCATTAACTTTTTGGTTCAGATAATCTAGCATTTTACTCAGACTTTCCAAACAAGCGTCTATGTGTTACGTGTTGATGCTTATCTTATTTTAGTATTTCTCTTGTAATTTGAACTTCTTGTGCGCCTCTATTTCAGTTTTAATATATAATAAGAGAGGTATGTACACTGATACGGAATATGGAAATGTTTATTTGCAGAGAACTGTGCTGACTCTATACTATTTTTGTACAATTGGAATATGGAATGTTTATTTGAAGAGAAGTATTGTACTCCTAATTAAGAGATTCCGCATTCTGTATAAATTAAGTTTATGTAGGACTCCACTTTCTTAATGATAATTAGAGCGTTTGTTTTGAGCAATTTTGTTAAATTGCTTGAATGTTCTTTTATATGTTTTTACAAATACATGGACATATTTATTTATAATCATGTATGGTTATTTTTCTCGTTCATATACCCGTTTCATTCATTAGTTTGATATTTTTTTTACAGATGCTTCACACTTGGTCATCCAAAGAACTGGACAAATTTAAGTCTCAGATCTAGATCTCTACACGCGTAATGTCTCATTGTTATATGTTACACTAGATCGTCTGCAACCAACAAATAACTTGTATTTTGAAAAAATTCCGAAAATGGTATGTTCAGAACAATTTGTCTTTTTTGCCGTCATCCGTGTCTATATTTGCTTTTTTTGGGAGGACTCATATAGCAAAAAAGTCTGTTTCCGGTTTGGAAGCTTATTTGTATTCCATATATAAACTGGCAGCATGAGATTTCCCTATTAATCTTGTTTAGAAGATTTTCTTACACTTATGCTGGAGGACGGAAAATAATGTTAAGCAAATCTTTTGAACGAAAAGGAGCCAATTACTAAAGAAATTAGTCAAGCATTATAAAATTTAGAAAAAACAGAATTTATTTTTTTGTGCACTTTTGTCATGTGTCTTAATTCAGGGTTATTTTCCGTTTTGTTTGTAAGATATAGTGAACTAGCTAATATTCTGATGTCTGATCTGGAATTTGAGTTCAATTTTTTGGAGATTAAAATTCTTAAAATTAAAACCAATTGATACAGGAGAGGCAATTCAGTTATTATTGAAAAAACACGGAACGAGCTTTGTCCTGTTTTCTGCTTAAGGACACACATTGCGTCAACGGTTCTAATTGAGAAATCGGGTAAATTTTTGATATAAAACAAGGTTTCTGTTAAGTGTATGGGTAGTAACCAACACACAGAGTAAAGGACGGGTATATCCAGGATAGCATTGAACAGAAACTTTGATATTTTCAATTTGGGTTTGTAATTCTTTTAGAAAAAAAAAATCTTTGCAATGCGATCTTAGTAACGAAACCATAACCCACGTTCTTGTTTGTTGTTTACTTGGATAGTTCAGAAAATATTTGTTTTTCGTACGAATGAAAAGGGGTAGAACATAAATCCATTTCTTTACATTCCGTTATTTCATTTCCCCTACATACATTGTAGTATTTTCCCGGATAATATTTTTGAGCAGGTGGTATCGCAATGAGGTATATAAGAAATTTGTATATGTCCGTTGGATTAATGCGGTGTGTGTTACAAAGTTAAAAAAAGAAGTGTTGTCACTATTCAATTCTTTTTGTGTTCATTTGACCATCCCTTCACCCTCTTTCTAGTAGTAGCTGTTTACATTTGATTCTTATGTGTTTGGGATTGAATAAAACGTTTACATTGATACATATATGTGATTTTTTAATAATAAAATAATGCGATATTTGTAACAATACACAACCCACTTTCTTGTATGTTGGTTATTTTGTTAGTTCAGAAAATATTTGTTTTGTACGAATGCAATATAAATAAGGAGATGTGGTACGATTGCCAATGAAACAACGATCCACAACAGACCAAAAGATGTAAGTTTTGTTTTTTTTAAATAGATACAAATTATTTATGTTCGGTAAGCATGTCCTTTCATGCACAATTTCACATAAACATGTAAATTTGCCGATATTGTGCCAACACTACCTAAAGCTACAATATTTAGGGTTGATTGAAATGTTTATTTATTGACATTTGTAAACTGGGTGCTAAATTTTTCAGGTGTATTATTTAGGACATTGGAATATTTTATCAGATTTTGACCAAAGAGCCTACCTCTTTATCAGAAAATTTCTATATTTGATAATCTTCTCTAAATATATTGGAACAAACTAAAAATAATAATAGGGCATAACAAAATGTGAAACTGTAATCTAAACTATTATAAGCATATTGAATTTATTGAAATTTGGATGGACAATGTCTAAATCTTATGCTCTTTATATGACTATTGTTACCTTTAAAAACAAAACAAATATCCTTATTAGGGTTAATTATTTTTCCTCCACATACTAGAATCCGTTGAAAACATGCTTACACAAAAGAGTAAACATTCATTGCAATTATCAATAGAAGAGTTTATTTATTGATACAAAAAATGCGTATGATGTGCATTTTTAATTACAAACGTTCACAACATTTAACAAAAACACATCGATGACGGTTAGATTATAATCCACACTAAACATTACTTAATATGTATATATGCTATACCTGGAGAAAGTACAAATCCACTAGGACATTGCCTGATGAAACAAGAACATTCTTCTTCAGAGGGAATACAGAAGCATGCATTTCTTGGTCTAAATACAAAATCATATCCTAGTGTGTAGTCACATCTACAAGTACTGTCTGCTTTAGTTGTACTTAATGAAAACGGTATTTGTCCTTCATCAGCGCAAATTGATTTTTCAAATTTGCAACTGCTACTACCATTTGTCCAGAAAATAAAGGGTTGATAACGATCAATCGCACATTGTACGCCTTCTAAATTTCCAACTATTTGTATTTTATACCCTACAAAAATGCACACGTATATTAATTCTTCGAAACATTTCCGTGCTGCGATGATGACACGCTGCCTTGGTTTGTTTTCCTATTTATTACATTTCACAATTGCGTAAGAAGTATTTGTTTGGGTAACGTATACATATTTTTATATATTTTGTAATACTAACAAACTAGAAAAATTGCAACTTGAAGCTGCAAGAATTGGCTTACTAAATTTTACAAATAAAAATAATATTTATAAAGAAATTGGATGGGAATCTCTTCAAGACCGTCGCCGAAGAAGAAAACTACAAATGCTTTATAACGCGTATAACGGAAAGGCCCCTAATTATCTTTGTGAATTGATTCCGCCATCGATACAAAGTACAACTACATATACCTTTTTGTAGACTTTCGATAAGAGTGACTCGTTTATCCAATCAACTATTAGGCAAAGGAATAGATTGGACACAACAGAAACTTTATCAAAATTTTAAAATAAATAAAAAAAGAGTTCTACAGTAGGTAATAAAACGGTGCCTAGTTACTTTGCATTTGGTCCAAGAAACCTTAATATTATTTTAACGCAATTTAGATGTTCAGCTACATTCCTTAATTATGATCGCTTTCAAATAAATATTGTATGCGAGCCATCCTGTCGCTGTGGGAATCCCCGCAAAGATTCTAATCCTTTCTTCTTTAAATGTCCTTTATATACGAATTAACGTCACATTCTTAGGAATAGTCTTAGTTGGTTACCAGAAGAGAGGGACGAAAGATACCAGAGGGACAGTCAAACTCCTAGATCGAAAACAAAATGACAACGCCATGGCCAAAAATAAAAAGACAAACAGACAAATAATAGTACAGATGACACAACACAGAAAACTAAAGACTAAGCAACACGAACCCCACCAAAAACTGGGGGTGATCTCAGGTGCTCCGGAAGGGCAAGCAGATCCTGCTCCACATAAGGCACCCGTCGTGTTGCTTATGTTATTACAAATCCGGTAAATAGTCCAATTCGGCAGGTCACACTCGCGAAAAGGGAAGGGTACTTTAGTTACGACACAAGGAACATATCCGATATCATCTGATGACCTTGTGTTGGATCTAGAGATTTTAACATCTGGTAGTATATAAATCTGACAAAAGAGCAATGAAAAAATATTTAGAAATGTTTTTGATTATAAAAAAAAGACCAAGAGGTTCCTTGTTTAATCATGTGTATAAGCTGAATGTAGTGATCCACACACACACACACACACACACACACACACACACACAAACATGCATATATATTTTTTTCCTTCTTCCTATCTTTCCCCTTTTCTATGCTGGTTCTTAATATGTCATTTAAATTACAGATGTTTGATTATATATTGTGTAAAAATAAATTTGATATTTGCATGCTATGAAATTTTATTGTCTAATATTATATCTTAGAAGAAGACGATCGTTTTGTGAGTTTTTTTTGCAAATAAAATATGTTTAAACTAAACTAAAAGACATATTTATAACGAATAACATTGCTCCATAGCTATCTTAAACCCACATGTAAAAATAAAACGAACAAGGTATTTCTACATCTTTCTAAAACCCACTTGTGAAGATTTAAATTAACAAGGTATCTCGGTGAAAGTACAGTTTGGAATGATATTTAATTTTTAAAGACAAAAAAAAAAACCAACCACATTCTCTGATTAAAAAATAGTATTCTTTAGCATTACAATTTAAAATTATCTGATTTTTTAAAATTATAATACTGATTCCCGTGCACACGATAAGTGACATGATCTGGTACTTTTCACTACCAAAACTCGAAAAACAAAAATATTCTAAATATTAGAATGCAGAAACTTAAATGATTTAACAGACCGGCCAAAACCGTCTTAAATTATTTTTTTAAAATAGACTTATATTTTAATATACATATTTAGATAAGGATATGGCTACTGACTTTTGTTTACCACATGAGAACAACACACATCCATTTGAATAATATGAGGCACTTGGTGTAATACAGCCACTTAACTTCCTAGTTTATTTAAGATAACCCTGACAGTACCAATTTCAATGCACCAGATGCTCATTTCAATAATTATATCTTTTCAGTGAGACTGTAGGCCAAAATATTTGAAAAAAAAAAGTCCATAACCTATTCTAAACATTAAAGAGCTGATAAAAAAAAACCAAACTAAAGCCAAGTTAAACCAAGACCAACACAATAAATAAAACTTTTAACAGTATTTGAGATTGAGAAACTAAACTGAGCATCAGCTTTCAGAAAATGTGAACCAAAATTGAGTGCCATTACTAATGCTTATCATTTTGCCTATGAAATATCAATTCAAAAGAAGGTACTTCGTTAACTTTAATCTTATTTTTTTTCAAATAATGCCTTACTGACAACTTTTATAAATACGACAGTAAAACAAAAGTAAAACCAAATAAAACTATATTTGAAAACCGTATCGTAGAATATAGAATTTTACATAGCAACCAAATAAAAGACTTTGTAATAACATGAATGGTGCTAGTTTTATCGAACCAGATGCACATTTCGACATTAATGCTTAAAAATTCCAAAGTTCTGTTACAGTCCATATCGTTATGCAATAGAATATATAGCGACATGATATTTTCCAACGTTTAGACAAGTATTACTTATTCTGAATTTGATGACAGATTGAAACAAATGGGTCATCCGTGTTAAATAGGACAGGTTGTCTAAATAAATGCCAAATCTTGTTTTGGGTAACATCGGGCCCTTCTGCTTTTTATTGACATATTTGTTTTTGTTCTGTTGGTGGCTTTTTTATATATATGTTCGAAACGCACGCACTTACTGCTCTCTTCTTTTTGCCGATTTATTGTTAATAATACTAACTTCAAAAAGAATCAGGCTAAAGCAAAACAAGCGGCCATTGCCGCTATTTTGTGCATTGAGGTCTGACTCGGGTTTTTATTTACATCTAGGTATTGACAGAGATTATCATTATAAATTGTAAATTTTCAATTTAAACCACAAATTTCGACAGAGAGCCGTATGTTCAATGTGTCTCCAAGTTTATCTTTTCTAAGGGATTGCTGCTTACCGGGATAGGGTTGTTGGATGTTTTAGAACAATTTGTAAAGTTTTAGAACAATTTGTAAAGTTTTAGTCATCTGAAAGAAAGTTTTATGGATGGCATCGTGGTTTACAAGAGCGGTCTGTTACTTATGTCGTTGATGTGTGGCGTTTAATGTAGACGTAATGCAGTCCTCTTTTCTTCCTTTGTGACTTCGATTTCGCAAAGTAACCAGTATACATGTATAACAAATGTCAAACTTGGCAAAAGTTACTGAAGTTACATAATCAATTTGATCTTCCGATGAGTCTGACTTCATCTCCTTGCTTTTATATAGTTTTGTGTAGCCCAATCTCTAACACTCCCACTCTTTGGTATCTTATGTTTTGTTTAGATATGGAGAACAACTGCAATGCTTAAAAAAAGCGATGATATGACTAGCGCATTTTACTCATTGTGGTAGTCCGTACGGTGACCTATAGTTGCTAACATCTACGTCCTTTGGTCTCTGATGTTCCTTTGTTTTCCTCTTATAGTAGATGTGTTTCTCTCGGTTTTAGTTTGTAACCCGGATTTGTTTTCTCTGACATTTGAACACCGGTATACTACTGTTGCCTTTATGGATAGTTGTCGTATTGGCAATCATACTACATTTCCTTATCTTACAATAATTATTCATAATTCAACAAAGTTAAAATATGTATGAACTAAGCAAACAATCAAATCAATATACTACGTACGGTATTTGAATTATCCTATTGTCGGATTAAGGTAAAATATAAACACTACAGAAATTTGATATGATGGAAGCTTTTTTCTATCTCTTTTTCTTTTTAAAGAACTACATAATGTCAATAATCCAAGAAAGTTTAGAGTCGTTGAAAGTAGCAGTTATTTTATTTAAAAGATCATGTATGTGCTAGAATATAGAACTAGTGTGTTACTTTCTTGAATATCAGAAGCATATCTGTTATACATATACAGTTCAAAGGTTTCATAGTTTTAACATCGGAGAGAACATAAATCATGGTGCATCATATTAAGTATTCTTATATTCTCAAAAGGACTTTACTAGGACAAATGATATTGGTGTTGGTAGACAGTTGTCTTATATTTTGTATTCATATGTCAATGTTTGGAACATTTTTTTAATGCAGACACTTTCCGTCTACTTCTATGGCATTCAACTTCCCACGTGTCGGAAATTGGTCCCGGTTTTTGCAGCTCAATTTTCTAACAAAAACCAAAACAAAAAGCTCAATGAAAGTATTGAGTGAACATGCATTAACATGAATTTGACAAAATGAATCCCAGATCAACAAAAAGACCACACTATCACATATTGGTGATTTTTTTTAACCCACTACAACTGTAAATGAAAGAGAATTACATACCAGGCGCTTCAAATTGTGGTCTGTCCCTGCATGCTTCGATGTTCTGCAATTTATTTACATCGTATAAACACTGATATGTGTCGGATATATTACATTTTCCACTTGCTTTTAATTTCCACTGCGAATTAAAGGGGCAATGCAAAGTAAAAGCTTTGTCAAGTCCATAAAGAGTTGTATTTATCTGTAAATATTAATGTTCATTAATTGATCAGTTTATTTATATGCACTTTCTTTCTTTTTTCTCTTGGATGAATCAAATTCACATCTTTTGTCGTACTTCGTGTACTTAAAACCCTATATCAAGAGAAATCAGATGTTGCTTTTCTTGTTTAAGGACAGAATGGTAGGATATCATTACTTTTTTAAGTTCATCAGTAATTCGCTTATAAAATAGATAATATTATTCTAATTCACATAAAATTTTCATTTAATATGATAATGACGTTGAATCCAATGTTGCATTGTAAAACTACAATTGATAAAGAAACCGGTTCAAACTACTGCACTTATTTTGAGACACCGTGGTCACCTAAACTTCACCAATCCATAGTAAAATCCATGCTTCTCGTCGACTGTTTGAGAAGTTGTTTTTTTACACAATTGCAGCCAGGTCTTGTCTGCCTAAAGTGGACTGGTCAAATCAAAATTGATTTCTGTCCTTATCGAACATACCCTCTAATCTTGTTACAGTGTCAATTTCTCGCTCTTCATTCTGAACGACCCAATGTGCAAAAGCAACCGATTGAATCAATTTTAACTTTGTTCCTGTCCTAAATATGCATGAAATATTTTCCACTGGCCGTTATGCAAACAACAATCAATCAACGTATCAAATGATCGAAGATTTCCAATGATTTTGATTAATTTTTATTTTCTTATTATTACATATCAATAAACAGGATTTAATTTTAATAATTCCCAATTCATTAACTGGTGGTTTGAAATGAGAAAACGTTGGATCAATATGAAATATATTTGTCTACGTACTATAAAAAAAAGAAACTGATATCTTATCTTCCCACTCATTGTTTATCTTTATTTTTTATCCATATTGTCATCAAGATGCTGCAATAAAATCGATTGAGTACAGAAATCAATCAAAGTCCGTCTACACTCTGTAATACTAAAGGAACGAATTTGCGGGATTGACAGGAAAACCCAAGGAACAACCTGAAAGAGATGTAGTTTACAAAACACAGATAATGAATGCAGTATGACGGTTACCGCGAAATGCTCATCTCGAATATCTATCTTTCTATTAAGTTTTATGAACTTTAACATATGTCTAAACTTTGAACAGCTTTTGGTTTACATCAACTAAAAAAGCAACAACAATATCATGGTTACCGCAAGGTTATCATTTGTATTATGTGTCGACATTCTTCGTGGCTACAGCGGCGTCACAGAGAGGTTATTTTTGGGGTTTACGCTTATTTATTGGTGAGTTTTGGAAGCGTCTATGGGCCATTCGATATCCTCGGAAACAAGATTCTCGGAACGTCTCGAAATGTTTCGATCATTTATACAGGAAGTTATCTATGTTTTTAATACGGTCACTCTATTGATATATTACCACGTGACATTGTATCATTCTTTCGACAATCAACATTAAAGTTCATTTGTAGATCGGAAAGTAAAAAAGTAAAGAATAGATTGCAGTTAGAAAGCCATTTATATACCCCAACCGATTTGCTTTTGACAGTACTTGAAACTCTTAAATATGAAGTATAATGATATTGCAATTATATAATTTATGTTTTGAGATGGTCCCTATACTCGTTGTTTGTGTAGTATTTAATATGGGAATAATATACTGACATTAAATTATGTCCCAGAATTTACTGATTATTTCTGAACGTTTAACTGTTATATATGTAATTCCATCATAGCCTGAGCAATTTTCGGAAAGCAAGAAGAAAATGAACAAAACAATATTACTGTTAAAAATATTTATCTTAGGTCGGAAAACAGAAAGATGATTAAACAAAACGATATTCCGTCTAAAATAGTTATTTTGATTAATAGATACTTACAAAACAAGGGAATATTCACTAGAACTATTAAAGTTTAAATTGAAACTAAATTTATCATTAATAGAATCAGGGAACAGTATATCTAGTCAATATATATATTCCTGATAGAATATAATTAGTAATGTTTTATTATCATCCCGCGGGTTTTAACAGTGAATACATTTATGAAAACCATATGCAACATATGAGTACCAATTATCAGAAATGAACACAAATAAATGAGTATCTAATGTTTAAACTGTAAGGAATGGAAAAAATAGTTCCATGGTTATAATTTACAAGAATTTTGGATCCTTGTATTAATTTTCACAAAAAACGTAATTAATATCTTATAATAATCATAATAACTACGTATACGTTACTAATTTTATACCGTTCAGGTATGGGTTTTTAAGTCTCTGCTTATATTTTGTATAGCAATAAAATAAAAAGTTAGACTTGAAGAAGAGATTGATTTGATTAAAAAATTGCCATTGATAAATACTTGACGCTTGTGTGTATTGACATGGTCCCTGTACTCGTTGATAAATATTCCGTATCAACTTCACAAATAATACATGATGGTCTTGAAGTATAGATTCTGCGTACTGACGTTGTTTATCATCTTAATAACGTGTTAAAGTGTTCTTTTATTTGTCTTTATTAATATTGCTTTTACTGTTTGGTCTGTTTTTGGTGATATACATTTGACGTGGCTCTATACTTATGCATCCCGTAATTGTGTTGTTTGTATTATTTTTCATTTTTACTTGTGTGCTTTGTCCGTGTGTCTTTTATGTTTCTTTGATACATATGACGTTTTTCTGTACTTTAAACATCCCACCATTGTGTTATTGCTCTATTATAATTTTTGCATACTTTGAACGACAAAATTATTTTATATCTCTACATGTGTGACGTTTACATTCTGACATCAAACACGCTATTTTACGCCAGAGTTAATGTTAAAATTACGATTCGGTCCCAGAGCTTAAAATCCCTCGATCCTTTATGGGTTGATTTGGCATACATAAATAAAATACAAAAATAAGTAAGCAATGAACGAGGTTGTTAAATGTAATATATGCTTTTTTGTACTTCTTTGTTAAATATTTGTTCGTTTTTGTTGTGATTAAGATTGTGACACGGTGTTGACTGCTGTACCCCTATTTTATATTTTTACCTGTTATGTCTGTTTGTTTTATCCGCGCATCGTTGTCAATATAATGGAATTTGATGCGACTGTCATACAAGTGAGAGGTTTAGCGCCATAAAACCAGGTTCAATCCACCATTTTCTACGTAAGAAAATGTCTGTACCAAGTCAGGAATATGACAGTTGTTGTCCATTCGTTTGATGTGTTTGTGCTTTTGATTTTGCCATTTGATTATGGACTCTCCGTTTTGGATTTTCCTCGGAGTTCAGTATTTTTGTGATTTAACTTTTTGATAGTATATTTCAAATTTCTGGAAAAGATTTATTAACAGCTAGGACTGTATGTTAATTAAATTTTAATTCTTTTTTATTTAATTTAATAGTTCAACCTTATAGCATCTTAATTTTTGCTATGATTGTGCGATTTTGAAAATTGTATGCATTGTGTTGACCAGCTACCCTACAAACGTCTTGCCGTTTATTTACATAATATTACTATTATTATTACACCCTACTCACATGACACAACAAAATCGGATTGAGAATCTAGTTTTAAACAATATCGGTTTGCGTTGACACAAATTCCAGATTGAATGAGCCAAACCACTTGAGGTAGGCAGTTTGACATCCGAATTCAACTAACATAAGATTTGAACCTAGAATAAATATGTTTATTAGATAGGCGCTATATAAAAGCTATGTAATAAATAAATAAATATACGTGATGACGCAAATGCATATTCTTATCCAGAATATCAGTGCGTATGTTTGCCATTTAATATAACTTGCGCAAGAAAACTACGTGCATGCGTAAACATTGATTTCACTCGTGGAAGGTGATTTTTCGCATTTCTTATCTAAATCTAGGACACGGCGTCACTGATGAGTCTTTTGTAGTCGAAACACGCGTCTGGCGTACAAAACAAACTTTAATCCTGACCACGTGTCCTTGATGAGTTTATTGATTTTTACCAAACATAAACTTTTTATATAAATTGGTTCTTTTGAGTGCATGTTCCGGTATTCATAAGACTTATGAAAACAAGATATTTTTCAAAAACTAAGTTTTCCTCTCGGTTTTATCTGACCAATATAATTGTCAGTATATAAGAGGTCCTAATGAAGCTGTTGTGTTACTCTCAAGAACAAAATACGAAATCTTCTTATAAGTTGCATGCCACAGAGTTACACTTCACATGGAAATTTCAATTTCTCTATACCACCTCTTCCATGATTACATACATATTCAATGAGTATAAGAATAATTTAAAGCATCCAGGAAACAAAATATGAAGATATGAAAGATAAAATAAACGTATCCAGATTATAAAGCAAACCGAGTTCTGAACTTTATATCTTGATTGGTCTGTGCACTTTGCTTTAGACATCCAGTTTGCAGAAATTTATAATTGCAATAGGATCAGATCTTTGTACATAAACACGGAGAAAAATGATTTACACTCCCAAGTAATAAATAAAATAGTCAAGCCTTAAAAGGTAATTTCGAATTTTCTATTTACAACTAAAATTGATTTTAATTGACTTGTGCAAGAATCTACACATAATGACATATTTTCAATAAAGGTATTTTAATACCCTTATTACCTCATTCTATTAACAGTCAATTATTTCAAATCAAAAGCAAAAATAAATTCAGCAAAAAACATTTGGTGACCAGTCAGTGGTCTCGGGTTCACGTATTGCTTTTCTTTTTTTTAAAGAAAGCACCTTGTTTTAGGTTTAACGATAACCACATCATACCTTGGTATCCATTTTGATTAATACCTGTTTGTACCGTCAGAATGTGTAGGTTTACTTGATTGATTTATTTTTGAGTTAATACAAATTTAACTATGCGAATCATGAGTGAACAATATCCAGACATACCATTTGTCCCATTATGTGTATACCATGTATACGTTTAGATCTATTTTAGATCTACCTAATATCTGATTTATATGCATTTGGTTGTTGCTTTATAAATTTGACAGGAAATTCGGTTATAATTGTTCTAAAATCTGCCTCGACTTACATATTTATATAATCATCAAAATACATTAAAAATAATTCAATTCTTTTATTACATATTCACTTAGACGATGGCATTGCACAATGTACTGCTTTTCTCAGACTGTTAATGATGTCTTTACACAAAATCTGGTAGATATCTTCTGATTGGTATTTCATTTTGAGTCGGTACTTTATGTCTTTTTTTTTTTATTGTTATTTGATTTTTGTGGTTCTTGAAATCTGCTGAGTCAAGCCCTATCCAACTGGATTTCACAATTTGTTCATACATTGAACGGTTACACCACTGATCCAGAATTGAAGAGGGCATGATGCTCGCAAACACATTTAACCCCGACACATTCTGTATGTGACTGTCCCGAAGGCAGGAATTTGTAATTCAGTTATTATCGTTGATTGTTTGTTGTCTGTCATATATGTTTTCGCTTGTTACTTTCTCATAAATCAGGCCTTTAGGTGAAACGTTTGAAATGGTTCACATATTGTCATTTCGATTGTATAGCTTTATGGTATGGATTTTACTGATTGTTGAAGACAGTATGATGACTCATATATGATACTAACCACGTCGTTTGGTCTCTGGTGGATAGTTGCTTCAATAGCAATGATACCACATCTCCTCGTTTATATATATTTATTTATCTTACCTCCTATAGATTTCTTAGGGTCTGATTGGTTAAAGGACTACACGTGGTGACTACATATATTTGATATAGGGTGTCCTAAAAAATATGGGGTTTGTTACCATATGGGGTTAGTAAGGAGTTACTCCCCTTTCAAAACAAAAAAGAAATCTGAAAGGTTTCAACAGACGAAGAAAGTGATGATGAACGATTGAAATAAATTCATAAAACAAATTAAAGCTAACAATTTATTATTGTTGGAATTTATTTTTTGTATAGACAAATGGAAGTAGGTTCTTAATACTAAGTATTGAAGACTTACTCACTTTGATAGGCCGCTATTCTAAATACCACATGTGAAGATAGTGGGTAAGATAAATTCGTTACACGGTGTGCTAGTGACCTTATACGATATATATGGGGTCAGTAAATTCCATATGGGGATTCGAGCTTCGCTCTCACCCCATATGGAATTTACTGACCCCATATATATCGTATTAGGTCACTAACACACCATGTAACTAATAATATAGACTTGTTTGTATAATATACTTATTTCTAGTGACTGTATAATGAAATGATTCATTATCCCATACGGTATAAAGCAATTATTGAGTTATATTGCTGACAAATAAAAATACATTGTGTATAAAAAATAATATAACAGCTACACACGCTTAAAACACATGTCTTATGCTATCTCTAGATTCGCCTAACGT